TTTCTCTATTAGGAGTACGAAATAAGTATGCAACTACTGTACTATATCTATTTACGTACTATATATAATTGTCTGGTCATCTCCCTTTGTGAAAGATATGCCGATTCCAATCTCCATTCCACTGACAAATTTCCAAAGTGATGTTAAGCAGAACTGATTGACTAGAACCGACATTCTCCTCCATTTCATTGGATTTTATTAATCAGATGCATATCTTCTCATTGGAATTATTTCAACATTCTCCTCATTGCATACAAATGTCAAGTTTTTTTTTTTAATTTATAAACTAATTATTTACTATTGCTGTAATTGTTTTTCTCAACACTTTTTTACCCATATTGTAAAGATAATATCTACTTATCTTTATTCCATAATAATCAAAATTTTGTAATGTCATCATTTTCTCTATTAGGAGTACGAAATAAGTATGCAACTACTGTACTATATCTATTTACGTACTATATATAATTGTCTGGTCATCTCCCTTTGTGAAAGATATGCCGATTCCAATCTCCATTCCACTGACAAATTTCCAAAGTGATGTTAAGCAGAACTGATTGACTAGAACCGACATTCTCCTCCATTTCATTGGATTTTATTAATCAGATGCATATCTTCTCATTGGAATTATTTCAACATTCTCCTCATTGCATACAACTAAGACAATGTACTTTACCTGTTTTTGTATTAGCATACATAATTGTATGAGTTTCATTATCTTATTCTTTTAAAACATTTCATTTCATTTTCATTTCTATATTTTTCTTTTTACAAAACCTTCAATTCCTTTGATAATTTCATTTAATTCAATGGGCAATTAATGTACAGCTTCATTCGGCAAGCACATGTCCCACTGCTTGTCAAATTTCAAAAGGGGTAATTGTAAGAATAAAACTAGGAGACTGCCATAGCAGATCATTTATTGTTAATATTCTATTTCCACATTTACACTTAAAAGATAAAGACAATTCTATAAACAAAAATTAAGGAAAATGAGTGACACAAATCAAACAAGTAATGATCTGACAGGTTGGTATGGCTTCTTTAATGATGATATACAGAACACAAGGGTGGAACACCAAATGGTAAGATGGTTAAGGTACGAAATAAGCTCTAGATGATGGATCGTCCTCTCATTATGCTTTAATCAATACCAGCTGGATGTTTAAATAATCATCTAATAACAAAAAAAGTGTTTCTTGAAACTTGAGAGGCACCAAACCTTGAAGTTTCCAAAGTAAGCAATGAATAACACTGAAAAGCACAATCACCTTTCGACCCAAAATCGTCCAAACTTATTTCTCTTCCTTATCCACAACTTGGCATACAACACATTCATCAATGGCCTTCTAAGAACATAATGGTCAATTTTGCTTCAGTATACTTCAAAAGAGCTGTTTTGAGAAAAGAATATCTTAGGAAATTCTTGCACTCACTCCAGCAAACTGATTAGTGACCTTATCCACTATATTTTTTTTTTTCCCTACAGCAAGAGTGCAACAGCCATAATATCCTGAAGGGTGATCAGTTTTCCTCAAGTTTAGTTTGTTAACCATTCCCTTGCCACTCTCACAAAGCATCACATTAGAGTAAGTTTACAATATTCCAAACAGCTTTCTTTTCGTCAACCAGCAAATAGGCACTGGGGGGGGGGGAGAGAGCAATGATGTTATGATGAAAGAAAACTGTATTTGTTCAACAGCAAAATCTAATACCTGATTCTAGTAGTGAAATTCTCTGAAGAAAGAGATAGGGAGAAACTGGTATATAGGGTCAGGTAGCACAATGGACACTTCAGTGATATACAGGAAACCAAGACAATACATTGGTTGATGCAAATATGGAAGAAATGTTATGATTTGCAAGCTATCTCCTAAAATTGATGAACCCTAATAGAGGTAAATTGTTTTACTTATTTATGAATCAGAAAGTAACATTCAGTCCTCCACTTTATTTAAGTTCACTGCAATTTAAGTCGATTCCTCATGCGAAAGATAAAAATGACACCACAGCTCCTGGAATGTAATGCAATAAAAATAAAAAGACAAAAAATACAAGAAAAATTAGAGAAGACCCATGTAAGGCAAGAAGTCATAAGTCTTTCTAAAGGAATGCACTCCTCCACCTTCTCCTGCCAGAGGTTATGTCTGACAGGGAAGGGATGTCAAACCCCAAGTTGCTTCCAATTAAGCATGTGAAATAATTAACAATACAAAACAATTTGATATCATATGGACGAAAAGAATCATTCTGACCACAACTATGCTCATCGATCTCAACGCATAGCAAATACTTATTTTTCACACAGCAAGAATACACAGGTGTATTGTACCGGATGTAATGTTGTCACTGGGACTACTAAAGTCTGGGCGGCCATCATTGCAGGATTACAAAATGGTACCTGCAACTGCAATGACAGTTAAATGTACAAACTTTAATTGTTATGGACTTCTACCAAGGTCACAAAAGGCTTACCCCACTGTCATTTAATATTTAAAGTAAGCCAAAATCCCTAATGCTAGGTCACATTATACCTGGGGCATTTTGTGTTTTCATGAAGAAAAGACATTGAGCAGTTTCTCCTACTATCAAAATAGAAATGGTGGCTTAGAAGCAACTGAGTCATAGTCCATCCATGTAAGCAAAAATAATAAAAGCATTGACTGTGATATACTTTAACACTGCTTCAGACCCACCAAACAAAAGGTTATACATGTTTATGTCTTTACAAGGCTTATACACTTACTCATTTATCATGACTGCCAGTATAGCCTAATAATACATAGCGGCTTATCTACTGTTAGCCTTCTTATAATACAGAGAATCTGTTTGGAGAACACAACCTCTGGAAGCTGGATGACAGAATCTCCTGACTTGACACCTGTACAAGCATTGATGATATCTGGTCAACTATCAGGCTCTTTCATCCACCTATCTGGCAGATGGAGTACTCTCCAAGCAGACTTATAATTATCATCTCACAGCATCTTGGGTTCCTAACACCTAGGGTGAGACAGCACCGAAATAAAACTTTAATGGGATGATGGAAAAGGTTGATTGCTTGTGGAACGGGGGAAAGGTTCAGATGGTAAGAAATCTATTAATGTAAATGAGCATGCTAACTCTCTGCTCAGTACTACAAGAAATTATTAAAAGTAATCAACAGAGTTTGGCTTAGCTTATCATGAAATGATAACAAGCATTTGTTTATGTATTCCTGTGATAAACTAGGAGCAGTGAGAGATGAGGACTGAATGATGTGAGCCTGAGGTAGGATGAAGTCATGACAGATGATTTTTTTTTTTTTTTTGTTTTTTGAGAAGATATGAATGAGTGAAGCTGATGCAGAAAAATAAAGTTGTTCATTAAATTAACAAAAGTGATGAAGTTTCTTTCTTACCTATACATCTTTAAAATGGGATGATGTTAAATTTATGTCATTTGCACAATTATGTATGCAATATGAACTCTTGCATGATATGGAGAGAGAGAAATGAAAAGAATCATGGATTAGCAGAGTGCTAAGACTTGCAGGGTTCTCATGATTGGTGGTCTTAGTACAATGGATTTTTCACAGTACATTAGTGCCTCTTTTCTGATTCAAATGACTGAAGCCAAACCAACAAAATGGAATGGAGGCATCTAAAACTGAGAGGACCCCTGTTTTTTGTACCCCTGTAATTGTCACCTTAACCTCTTCCACCAACTTCTCTGTTCTCTGCTCTGCTAGGGTGAGCAGAAGAAAGGGGCCACCAAGTGTTTAGCAGAAGAGTCTCACAGAGACAGTCATTTCCCTCTCATACTGCATTTGTGTATTCTGCACAATGGAACAATTTAAGGAAAAGGAAAAGGAGCAAGAGCAGGAGCAACTGTTCACACACTTGCTTAGGCTCGGATTTCTATTTCACGGAATTGAGTACTACGCTACGAATTTGGTAAAAATGTGTTAGATGGCAACAAAGGTGAGTGAAGAGTTGGGATGAGATAGGCAAGGCTGGGTGGTATGAAGACTTTGAAGCTCTAAGGCAATTAAGACACAAAGAGGAAAATTGCAAGGGAGGATAATGAAAGCCAAGAGGAAAAAGATAACTGTAACAACTGGGCCTACCAACAGCACAGATAAATTAAATCAAAACATGGGATACAACAGTGAGAGAGGAGTCCAATGGTTATTTGCAGGGTAGAAAGGGTCAAGGTGGGAGGACTGTGGTGTTACAGGAAGGGGAGGGGGGGGGAATCTACCAAAGGATCTTGTCAAGATATCACTGGATTATGTATTACAACACAGCCCTTTGGTGATGTGATCTACTCGACTGAGCCCAAATGTAAGAAATCTGACAAGGCTTTCACCTTCTATTGAAGCAGACGAAGCCTCCTGGAAAGACTACAAGTTACAGATTTCAACACATGTATAATGCTCAGATATCACTACCTCTCATAGATAGGGCTCTTGCTACTACTTACAAAACATACATGCAGACATTCATGTGATGGTGAAATTGGCCTCGCTGTACTTACTATATACCCTGCAGAGCATGGAATCTTATAAGGATCAATTTATGGCAATTTCATTGACATATCTAAACCAGCAATAGGTTGGGGAATCAGAAGTAATATTCCTAAAATATGGTACAACATAATCTTGCAATAAACTCTGGTTATAACTATCTGAATATAGTAACACAACATATTCCACATGGGGGACTAACACTATCTGTTAAAATGTTTATTACCTACACTTTATTCCTTAAATCATTGCAGTACTATCTATACCAAGTTATTTAGAGTTCATCTAGGGCATTTGTTAGAATCAGACTCCCATTAAATGTTTTCTGATGCAAGTTATTAGCAACTATTAACCATCCTGCTCTTTCAAGTAATCTTTTTTTTTTTTTAATATTTTCAACAACACAAAAAATACCCCTCCAACAAGTCTCCTTTATAAAGTCTTTTGGTCTGAACAGAACATATAAGCAGACAACCGTAATAATGGCTACCCAATGGTCTATGCCACTCCTCTCGTCACAGGTATAAGTCGACCAGGAGATTCACCATCACTCTTTATACTCCCTGTAAGAACAAGGAATGAGTTTATGGGCATGCCTATTTTGTTACAAATGGGTAATCACAACCTCTCAGACAAAAGGTAACCAGACTAAAAATTTAGGATAGATCACAGTAATGTGATTCAATCTCAGAAAAACAAAAAGGAAAGGCAAACATTCCCTACAACCTATGCAGATCAACAAATTATAGGAAATATCAACATGACCAGAATTTGGAAATTTATGCCTCTCATTCCTTTCATTTCTCACCATCACCTATATACATATATACTATATTGCTGAAATCTTGGTATAAAATGAGATGCTAAATAAGCCCGGGTGGGAATATTTGAACTCTTGGTTTACCTGTTTGATGCATCGAGTGCTATGCTTGCCTCCCATTCACAAACGATTAAGCTCACTTATACAGCTAACACCACAGTCAACTTATAAACAACACCTACAAGAATGGGAAGAGTAAAAGTTTCTTGATATGGCCCATAGCTGCATAGAAGGTATAATTCATCTGATACATTTAAGTAGATTCACACCAAAACTTCACACTTTTTTAGCATGCAAACTTCCCCATATGATGGCAAACAGACATGCCCACAGACCAAAGTTGTTTTTCAATGCACTGGTTGTGTAAATGCCAAAATCAGATGACTTCAGTTATACTTGCATGATGCCCTACTACATCAAGTCATTAAGTTTTAGGGTTGATAATTTGCTATATGAACTGCACTGGTTCAAATAAACTTCCACTTTTTTTTTTTCTTCATATATGGAAGTCTAAAACATCTGTTAAGCTTTACAATGCCACATATTTGCATGGTCAAACCATATATCAAATAATTTCTAAGGTATTACCAAGTCCTGACAGGATTATTTACCTGAAATCTCTTTTTTTAAAATATCATAAAATCTATCACTGTACATCATCACATCATCGGAATAGGTATAATTCAAAATTTTCTGTACATGAAAGAAAAAAAAATGAATAAATAAAAAAAAAATCAGAAATCAAAATAAAATATGTAAAGTACTGTGAGTTATGAGTAGGGTACAACCTATTTCATAAATTCCCATGACGCTTTATATTTCTGAAACATCTGGCATAGACAACTGACTTTTAAGTTAGATTTAAAAGAAATATAAATAAATAAAAAAAATGATAACAATGAACCTTGTCTCATGTGTTCCACTTTGGCTTCTGATATGGGAGCGAAAGTCATTCTATTTTCCATTTATTTATCTACCTAAACAATCTACTAATCCATTAGAAGGGTTTCCTAAATCATCAATTAATTACATCTCCTTCACAATATCAGGCAAGTGAAAAAACATTAGACAAAAAAATAATAAAGAAATAAAAAAAAATAAATAAATCTACGAATAAGAATAATAAAAAATAAAAATCCTGAGTTGCAATGGATTTTTCCTGATGGGATATTTCGGCACCATTTCCACACCCGGCCGCTGTGCAAAGGTGGCTCAGAGCCCTAATGAAAAAATGAAAAAAAAAAAAGAAAGAAAAAAAAAAAAAAAAAAAAGCCTCATAGAAGCGCCATCATAATCATCATCATCATCCTCAGTGATTCATTATTATTATTTCCACCTAAAATTTTTTTGAAACCTTTTTTTTTTATATATTTATTTTTTTAATTTTTATAATTATTCCATTCTGCTTTTTCTCTCTTCTTCTTCTTCTTTATTGTTATTATTATTTTTTAAACCTTCCTTCACATATTATCTTTGAAAAAAAAAAAATAAATAAATTAAAAATTAAAAATTAAAAAAAAAAAGAAAAAAAAATCTCTCTCAGAGCCAAAGGAGATCATTCGTCTAACTGGTGGTGGCTGCTAGCTCTGGGGACGTTGTGAGATAATCATCGGCTCGCTTGTGGTCACTCAGTGCCTTGATTGTGTACTGATCATGGGGTAGCTCACTCTTCCTTCGCAGTAAAGGTTTTTCCTTATTGCGCACCTTTTTCACCTGCTGTAGAGAGAGAGAGAGAGATAATCTTTTTTAAATGCTTGTGTAATAAATAAATGACTTATATGATGCATGTGAGTGAAAGTCTATTTTTTTTTTTTTCTTCCTTTCTTTTTTTTTTTTTTTTTTTTTTTTTTTCTTCTTCTTCTTTCAGAAATAACTACAGTGAAAGAGAAAGAATAAAGAAAGGTGATTGAAAAAATGAAATGTGCTGGAAAATAATGATGACAATAATATTATAGATAGGAATAGTAATAACAATAATAATAATAATAATAATAATAATAATAATAATAATAATAATAATAACATTAATAATAATAGTGACAATAACAATAGTAATAATAACAATAGTAATAATAAATAATAACATTAATAACAAAAATACAGAAAAAATAATAACAATACCATTAATAATAATAATAATAATAATAATAACAATAATAATAATAATAATTAC